ATATATATATATATAACATATTACTGGTTGCAAGAAAACAAAAAAACAAAGATATAATTAATTAGTCAAGAATCAATAACAGCTAATGTTACTAAAAAAGGCCTTCATAACAAAAGTTATGAATGGGTTTTATTGAAACAAATGACATAGTTAAGTGACAAATAGAGGGTTATTCTTTCTTTTGATCATTTCCGTCAACGCGGAAAAAAAAGTTTAAAAGTCATTATTGTAAGGGGAAATTGCACTAACTTAACCCTCAAATAACAAAATAATTCTTCTATTTTCCTAAGAAAATGGAAAGAGGAATGGCCGGTCTGACTTAGTGGTATTGGATCTAGGTTAGAGGTGCTAACCTCTTGTGGGTTACGTGTTTGAGTTCCACGAAACTCCTTTCCTCACTTCCTTAATTAATATATAAATAATTGCAATCTATTCCAAAAAAAAAAAAAAGAAAATGAAAAAAGAAAAATCATTTACTTTATTTTTTATTTATCTAAATGAAAGGGGTATATTGTAGGATTCAATTTTCTTCCATTTTCTTATCCTTTGATTCCCTTAAATTAAACATACACTTAATAAAAATAATTAATTAGAATTTAATTTCAATATGTTGACCAAATTAAATATGAAATAGAATTGATTTCAATATAAGCTCAATTGTGCTAATTTAGTATCCTTTTATCTTTTTTATTTGATTTAACAAATTAATATTGGACAAAATTCTGTTAAAAAAATTAGTATTGAACGAGAAGATCTACGTTACAACTACAAAGTAAAGAAGGTTAAGGATTTGGTGGCCAAGAGAAATGAGAAGGTTAAGGATTCAGTGCTCAACTTTAAAGATTGAGGATTTATTTGAAATCAACTCTAAATCTTAAGGATTAAAGTAATATTACACCTTCTCTCCTATCACAAAAAAAAAAAAAAAAGACAACATTCTCCATCACCCATTCTTGCTTACAAATATCATTCTGACACTTTGGGACTGAAAGTTTTTATGGTATGTGGTTATCTCAGCACCAAAACTGCCATTCAATTTAAAAAAAAAAAAACAAAAAAAGAAAAATAAAAACATCTCAGTACCTAAAATTCTCACTGCTGACCAGAGAAGCTGGCAATCGTCTTTTATCAAATTTCATTACATTGACGGCGCCCAAACATAATGGAGGTAGTCCCCATTCATTCGTTCCATCATTTTCAAGAACATTGATGGTCCATAACTCTATATTAACCACATCAATCTATTTTAACGGTAGATTTAATTTTTTGTACTTATTTTACAAGTAATGACTATAAGTTTCCCTCTTTAATTATATTATGGTGAAAAAGGAATCATGGATTCAGAAAAAATGCCTCATATTATGGGTTTTCTCCATTAATTATTAGAGTTGTGCAAACCTTCAACATACTGATGGAGTCAAGGGTCTTAAGGATCTTAAGGGTCTCAGTACTCTAAATTTTTGAAAAATTGTTATTAAAGTTCTTTAATTTTTATTTTTATTTTTTACTTTTAAATTTTAATTTATTTAATACAATTTTAATCTATCATTTTATTAAATATTTTAATTCACACCCTAATTTTTTTTTATACTTCACTTTTTTTATACTTCACCGTTGACTGAACAAGTAAATTTAAATAATATTTTTATATAATATATGAATACCAATTGAAAAAAAATTTTAAATTGATGAAACAAAACAAGTATTACATATAATAAAAATTTAAAATCTCATTCAAAAGCATGCAAAGTCAAAATCTGACAATAGTGATGACTTGAAAGAAGATAATCGCACTATTATTATCTACTCGGTTTTCTTTTTATAACATAAATTAAGAATATAATTATTATATTATTTTATAATTAATTTATATAAAAAATATTTAACATCATTTTCATGTAAATGAAGAATGATGATGAAACTGATGAAACAAAACAAGTATTACATATAAAAAAAGTTTTTAATGTCATTTAAAAGCATGTAAAGTCAAAATATGACCATAGTGATGAACTGCAGGATTATTATCAATTTATTTTATATTAATGACATAAGTTAAAAGTATAATTATTATATTATTTTATAATTAATTTATATAAAAAATATTTAACATTATTTTCATGTAAATGAAGAATAATTATAATGAATTGATTAAATCAATGTCATTATTTATATTTTTATATTTATTAATTATAAAAAAATAAATTTATTATATTCTTGATTTATATAAGTATAAATTACATGAATCTATATTGAACAATCCGTTTTAATCCAATGACATGAATTCTAAATTAAAGTCGTTCACCTCTTGTAAATAACATATTCGAGTCTTATGTATTTTATTTCTTTTTCTCTCACTTAATTAATATATATAATTAATTTTAAACTAATAAAATAATTACATAAACCTATATTAATTTTAGACTACTTTTTATCGATTTGGGTAGACTATTTGTCGTCGTACTGGCTACTCCTCTCCAAAGTCCAAAGTCCAAAGTCCAAACCAACCAGAGGGCTGAGGCAAGCATGACCATCAGCAGCACAACCTCCGGTGGTTTTACTTTTACATGAACAGGGCTTGAAAAACGCTACCATTCTCTTTATCAGCCAAAATAACAGAAGGCATTGAACCATGTGATTGGTGAGAAAAATAACCAAATTAAGATATTTGATATGTAAGTACATTTGGAAAGTGCACCTTTGAAAAAATTTCAGGTAGTATAACTTGGTGCAGTTAGATATATAAAAGGACTTTTTTACTTTTCATTTTTTCCCCCCTCATGAATAAAAGGGCCTCTTTTCTAATCCAAAAGCACAAGCTGGCCGCTGCAATTTTTTTTTGTTTTTTTGCCAAACATGAAACACATGAAATTTGAAAATAGCTTAAATTGGGACATAAGAGTATATATAATGAGAAATAATGAAAAACAGTTTACTTTAATATCATATCATCACAATTAATATTTAAAAATATTTCACCTCTAAATCAAACACCTAATAAAACACTTCGTATTTAATTCATATTTTTAAATAGAATTTTCATAAAAATCATACAATTATTATTTTATTTTATACATATTTTATATATTTAAATAAAAAAATTTTAATTTAAAAAAAAAATCGTCGGACTCAAAATCCAACAAAATCTAATAGTTGTTTGAGGAAGTGACAGGCATCAATCAAACTTTATGGCCCAAAAGGGCTAAAATGACGTTGTTTTGGTCCATTTTGGGCCCAAAAAATTTGACCAATCTTGTTTGTCTGCATATTGAAATTCGATTTTGGAACATGCCACAGAGAAACAGAAATATCTGTGTTCTGCTTTTCGTTGTCGTGGTCCATTGGTGACCACAGCAACTTAACAGGATTGTCGGTGGATTATATTTGTTATTAATGTTTGAATATTATCAAGAGTAGATATTAATCTAATTTTTAATTATTTTTTTGTCAAATAAAAAAAAGAAATCTGTGTTCTATTTTGAGAAAAGAGCAAAGAGATGAGAACAAAAAAAAAAAAAAGGAATACGGTTGTACATGCTTTAAGAGTTTAATATTATTTTTATTTATAAAACTTTTATTACAAGGACTATTTTAATACAAAAAGAAACTGATTAATGGTTTTGCAAGATATGATAATATTATAATCTAAATAGAAATAAGTTTCTTGTCTATTGAATAAATTAAGAATTGAAGCTTTTGATCAAACTCAAACTCAAAAATCATTTTTTATGCTAAGTTTTTGAATTGTTTACGGATTTAATCTTTCAATTTTTTTCCCCCATTTAGTTCAAAAGTGATTGTGATTTCTTTAGGCATGACACGAGCACCTAGTAACTGTTATCTTTTCTTGATAAGAATATTTGTGTCTTTATTTACTAAATTATTTTTGTTGTTAAATACCAATTTACATGTTCCGTCTTTCACATTTGTTGGTAATCTGTTCATCTTTAAAATATTAGTAATTTTTCTTAATGAACTTTCGTAGATAAATCTTTATAAATAACAACAACAATAATAATAAACAAATCAACGTATCAAAAACAATAAATAATGGACAAATCCCTAGAAAACAATAACTATTTTGTGATGACAAGAGTAAACTTATGGACAAATAAATGAGAAAGATAATCTATAAATTTTTTTTTTTCAAAAAAAATAAATTAGCATTATAAAAGATACATGAAAACAGCTCAAACCTCTTCAAAGCCTTTAAACTGTCCTTTTGAGACCATTATCCCTTCAATATACATATTGTGAATTTTAGCTTATAAACTTTATGTTATTATTGTAATTGATCTAAAATAAACATAATCCTACCATGTGAATTATATAATTATCTCTACTTTGTTATTCTATTCTTGTTAGTACCCTGCTAATATAAATATAATCCACTTGGACCCATGGAGGCAAGAAAAATTCCTCCCAAGATGAGAACCATGTGGGTTATGGGTGAGATTTTCCCATCTTTGCATGGCATGGAAGAGGATAGGATAATAAAATAAAGAGAGCCATGTGACTTGCGTGATTAAATTATATCTATTTTAAGTTAATTACAACAATAACTTAAAGTTTATGGATTAAAATATAAAATATAAATATTGAGAACTAATGGTTTCAAAGATAAACAATTAGAGGGCTTACAGGGATTTATGCCCGTGAAAACCAAAGTCGTCATACAAAATTTCATCCCAAAACCCTTGCCCTATAAAACAGTGTTTCTTGAGAACTGGAATTAGTCTTTTTATCTTCTATTTGAATTCGAACATCCTGAATTACATAAAACCTGGTGAATATCAATTCGAAAAGCCTAAATCGAAAACCATGGAGAATCTGTTCGAGGACATTAAGAGAAGCAGGTCCACACACGAAGAGTCAGCAACCCTGAATCATCTTCCTAAAGAGGTTCTGATTCGGATATTCTCGATGCTTCCGATTCACTCGGAATCAATGGCGCAATGCAGGTGCGTATGCAAAACCTGGCGAACCCTAATCAACGACCCACTCCTTGCTCATCTCTCCAATCCAGTCCCAGTTATCATCATCCATAAACATTCCCCAATTCGAGATTTCCTTTACTTTATAGATCTTCCTTCCCTCCAACAGAACGAGGCAAAGTCCTTGACAGCAAAGGAAATTCGCATTCCGGCGATGCTATGTCACTTCGATCTGAGAGCTTCATGCAACGGATTGCTTTGTTTACGGGAATATTTCAAAGACAGTTCTCTCCATGTTTGTAACCCTTTTACCCGAGATTATATCCAACTCCCCGAATCTGCAGGGGATGTGAAACGAATAATTCCAATAATATCATTCGGTTTCGATCCCAAGACCATGGAATACAAGGTCTGCAAAATAACTAAGGTTGCTCAGCGTAGGGAATCTGAGGTTCAGATTTTAAGCATTGGAAGAGGAACATGGAGGTTCTTGGGAAAGTTACCTTACTGGTTTAGACAGGAGGCAATTACCCCTTATGTGAATGGGAGGCTTCACTGGATTACTAGTGATGGGGGTCTAATTTCTTTAGACTTGGAAACTGAGGAATTCATAGATATTCCGAAGCCTGATTGGAGTAGTCAAACCTGGGACAGGTCCATGCGTCCTATGGTCTTCCAAAACCGCCTGTCAGTAATGGTTGAGGTAAGGTTATTAGGTGAATGGAGGTTGTGGATGATGGACGAATATGGGAAGAAGGAGTCTTGGAGAGAAGCGTTCAGGTTTCAGAAAGAATCGATTCTGGAATCAAGGATTCGGAATGGTTACCGAGCTCCAAGCGTGGATGTGAGAGTTGTAGGCATTATGGAAAATGGCGAGGTGTTGTTAGAGTACTGTGACTCGAGATGGCAATATGTTGCTCTTTATGACTCAATTTCTGAAACGTCAAAGCGATTTATTGTTGATGGATTGCCAGCTAATGTTTATGGGAAAGCAGTTGTTCATATGGCCAGCCCCAGTGGGATCCCCAGGTGACTGATTTTACCACTATGTATGTCTTTAATTAGTACACAAAAAGAACCGATGATTTGTTGATCCAAGTGAAATAGATTTGATTTTTGAGTCTCGAATTCGAGTATTGTAGATGAATACTTAATTTCAGATTAATCAAACTCAATGTGATTACTGAATAGAGAAAGATTAGTACAAAAAAAAAAAAAATTTGTACACAAAAGGAATATAGTCTCAATGGGATGTATATTGTTGGAGTACTGCAAGTGGAGGTGCCACATTATCTTGTCTTTATGGTCCAAAATGCATAATATCCTATGTGATTTGAGAGGAAGAGAGGGAATGGAAGATTATCAACCAAATAATTTAATTGAAAATAACCTCTCCTCCGACCCCTCAAACCAAACCACACTGGCTCTTAAGGGCGATATGGTTGAAGGAATCAACGGAAATTGATGATTAGGAGAAAGCAGTTGTTCATGTGGATAGCCTCAATACGATGGGTGAGTAATTTTCATTCTTTACTTTCCTTTCCATTATTCTTAAACTAATAACATTTATTTTCGATTCAAAAGTTTAAATCTATACTCCCTTCCTCTCACAATCTTGAACCACACGCTCTATTATATGTATCAATAGTGTGTATATATATGAAGGAAATTATTTCCAATGCAAACAATGAGAACTGTTCAGTATTATTAATAATTGTCCCATATCATTTTGACAATCTGTTGTGATGCTTATGGCCTTAAAAATTTGTGATGAGACTTTAATTTGTGGCTGGTTTGGTTGGATGTAATGCCTATTTAGTTGCTAAGCCACATAATTAAGATAAAATAGGGAAGTTGATAAAGTTAAAAATTTGTGATTTCAAGTTACAAATTTTAAATTCAAATTTTGAGTTAAGTGGAAAAAAATTTAAAAAATAATAAAGATTATGTTCTCTTATATAATTTATTATTATCATATATATTAAAAAAAATCAAATCCTCTAGGTGTATGCTGCAAGTTATTTCTTTTGCTTGCAATCAATTCTCTTTATAATTTTTATTTTTAATTAACATCTTTCATATTTTAAAATGTGTAAAAAATTTTAAATTACCAATAAAATTAAGATGTAAATATAAAGTTGGACTATTAATTTTTAAATTTTTTATAAAATTTTAAATTATAAAAAGTAGTGAGAATAATAAAAAAATTTTAAAGTGTTAATTGAAAAAATATATATATATATATATAATATACAAATAGAATATTTGACCAACAATAATTAAGAGGAAACATATCATTTATTGTGTACTTGAAGTTGAATTACACGACAGACAGATATTTCAACACCATGTGGCATCCAAGCAGAACTAAACCCTACCCCTAAATTATCTTCAACCGATGATTTTTTTGCTGTAGCTCTCGTTGGTATCTTTCAGAATTAAGATAAAAATATAATTATTTTTAAAAACAAAATAAAAGTAACACATGTCCCTTCGGTTAATCGGTAATCTGTCAGCTTGAGGTGCATTTTTCTTTTTCTATGGATAGGTTTCGAGCCTGCTCTTTATCAATTTGTTCAAAAAATAATAATAATAAAAAATAAAATAAAAGTAAATAAATTTTAATTATTTATAATAAAAAAATAAAGAACCAAGTTTTTCAACCATTTATAATAAAAGGATAATGTCACTGTTCAAAAAATAATAATAAATAGATAAATGATCTGGTTTTTATTCAAGTGATGTGTACAGAGGTAATACTTCATATAGAATATAGAGGGAATGGTTATGGTTACCATTGATTTTGTTTAACTTTTTAAAGTTATTAAATTTTTATTTTAATTTAATTATTAAAAACAGTTAATTAATGCACTTGGACTTTATGGTTCAGTGGTGTCAGATCACGTATAAGTGCATTCCTCCATTCCAAGATAACGGTTCAAATCCGACCCCTTGCGAATTTGTTTAAAAAAAATAATTAATATTTAATAAAATGATTAATATTTATTACTTAATATATTAAAATTAATTTGTAAATATTTTTTTATACTAACTTCTTAGTGTTCAATAATTATATTTGACCCTAACTAATTCAGAATAGAATTGTATCAGATCTTATAAAAAGATAAACTCTCTTAGTACTTATTTTTTCATTCACAAAATTTGAATTCGATACATTGTTTAAAAAAAATCAAATTTTTTTCACTTAAACCAATAAATTATTGGTAATTTCTAAATATTTTTTTATATCAAATAATTAGTTGTTTAGTATAACTAAGATTTAAATACCATTTTAATTCAAAATTAAGTTTTTTTGTTAGAGAGGATAAATTTAATTAAATTTTTATTAGTATTTATAAACATGTATTTTTAAATATCATAATTCATTATTTTATAAAATTATAAAATAAAAAAAATTATAAATAAAATTGTTGATCTTATCAATAATCCATAACCTCATCCCTATATATAAGTTGGTCTAAAATTTTTTAAAATATTAATTTAAGTCGGCCTCCACGGGAACCAGCTATTCCCAATACAAGAGAACCAAGCGGCCGAACGAAAAAAGTACTGCCGATTACGTGTTGATTTGAATGAAAAGAATTTAATTTTTTTAAAATAAAATTTTAAATTAAAGTTTTGTAAGTGGAGAATAAGTGTTGAGAGAGTTTTTTTTTTAATAAAATCTAATATAACTTGATTTCAGATTAATCAAAATCTAATGTGATTATTATATACCGAAAATTAATATAAAAAATAAATAAATAAAAACAAAAATGTCCCACTCCTTGCACGCCAATTGACGTTGATGCCATCTGCTGTCGCCACTAGTTGTGGATGATTCGTTTTCTGTTAGGCAGTCTCCACCAACTACAAAACGAATGGCCTTTCTCCAATTAAAAGCACAATCCGGCTCGATCAGAAGGACTTTATACTCGATGGGTTCAGACATGGTTAGATCCGTTTTAGGGGGCGAAGTGGCGGGGTCTAAAAGCAAATGGCAAATCCTGCCGCCGTATATTGTTAGGCAAGTAACTTAACTAATTATGGTGATACGTTGAAAATATTAAAATTATAGAAATTTATAATTTTTTAAAATAAATAATTAATTATGATATTTAAAAATATTATAATATATTAATTTTAATTCTTAAAAAATAAATATATAAATTATTTTATTATGTATTTACTATCAATTAATAATTATAATTATTAATTATTTTTAATAATTAAATTAAACAAAATCAGTGTTTAAAAATTATTTAAAACTGTATAACCTATTCTGTGGCAATAACCATGTTCTAACTTGGGATTTGTGATTAATTATACGGTTTGTCTATTTAGGGCAAAAAGTAAGAAGTGATAATTGGATGGACACAATTATGACTATTAAAATCGTAAAATATTATTTTTAAAAATATTAATTTTATTTAATTGATTTAATAATAATAATTAATAATTATAATTATTGTCTATTTAGGGCAAAAAGTAAGAAGTGATAATTGGATGGACACAATTATGACTATTAAAATTGTAAAATATTATTTTTAAAAATATTAATTTTATTTAATTGATTTAATAATAATAATTAATAATTATAATTATTAATTATTAATTAATAGAATTGATAATATTTATTAATTAATAAATTAATATTTTTAAATACTATATAAAGAAAACTAAAATTTTCATAGTTTAATAATATTGATAATAGTAATAATCACACCTAATTGGGTAAATATTGTACTTTTTATCTTCAAAAAAATTGAAATTTACTTTTGTTTTAAACATAAATGTCTTATGTCAATTTTTTATTAAATTATTTTGAATTATAATTCAAAATTTGTCCCGTCAATTGAATAGTTCATTTTTATTAATATAAGAGGCGATCTTTATTACTAATGAAGACTTCTTATAGGACATCCAACAGGCAAATTTTATTTCTTTATTCATGCTAACTCAAATTTATTGTTGTTTTTTGCACCTGGGCCTAGAGGCTCCACTGGCATTAGCCAGCTTGTTAGGTGCATTTCCCCTTCCCTTGGGCGGGTTTTAAACTCACCCCGTGTCAAAATGTTCAAAAAAAAAAATTTATTGTTGTTTTTTAATTTTTTTTATATATTAAGATTTTGAAAAAAAAATTATATATTTATTTATATCATCTTTAATAAAAATATGAAAATTTTTATAATATAATAAATAATTAAAAGTAACATATAACAAATACAATTAAAGATGAAAAAATACATATCTTCTTTAAAAATTAATTTTAGATAAAAGGTCCAATTAAGATTTTTTGTCTTGTGCCAAATATTTTTTTTATCTTAATTACATAATGAAAAGTAATTATCTCTCATCTCTTATGACATCCTACTCATATATCATGCGGGTCAAATTTAAAATTTTTTATTTTTAATAAAAAAATGATAATTAAACACTTCAATGATTTTAAGTTTGATATTTTGTACAATATAATTTGATATTAAAAAACTG